TCCCGCCACGGGTAGGTGAGCGCGCCCGCCGTCGCCGCCGCCCCCTGTGCCGCCAGAGCCAACAGTAGGGTGGGCAGCGCCCAAGGCCGGGTCAAGGGCGGCGGTCCCCGCCTCTCCAGTGCCCACATGATAGTCACCGGAGCGGCGGCTCGGCCTCCGGGAGGCCCACGAGCGAGGACACGGGGACGACGCGTCCTACCCTACCTGTCGCCACCCCACAAGCTCGCCCGTCGGCGGCCAGCGCCGGCCTATATGGCCCGGCCTCGCCACGCCCCCGGGGGGAGGGCTCACGACCTCCACGGGGCCGCGCTGCGACCCGACTTTCGGCGACGTCACCGCCCCACGGCCCCTCCCACCCCAGGGAGCCCCCTCACCCCGCCCCCCGCCTGGCGCCAGCCTCCGCCGGGCCTTAGTCCAGGGGGCGGTCCTGCGAGGGCCTCCCCAGCACCAGGGGCAGCTCTCTACCCGGGAGCAGGGCTGGCAGCCGGGGTGCAGGCTGGGGATACCTGGCTCCTCTCTTCTCTGGTCTCAGCCATCTGCCGGTCCACCTGTGAGGACGGAGGCTGAGCCCAGTTGGGACAAAGCGCTCAGCGTGCCCTTTCCCGGACAGGGTGGGACGACCCTACTCAGATGCCCACGTCTTCCTTCCCAGCACCCTCAAACCCCATTGCCAAGTCCAGACCTACAAACAGCGTCTGGATACGGTATCCGCAACTTTATTAGAGAACCTGTCACCTGATTAAAAGCAGGTCCACTGCGCGCGCGCGCGCGCGCGCGCGCGCGCACACACACACACAGGTCCCGGGGAGGAGGGAGCAGAGCGTTTCCCCCACTTTCCAGTCCTGGGCTCAGGCCGCAGCAGCCAAGCGCCTGAAGCTCCACCCACAAACAAGCAGCCAAGTAAAGTTCTGAAGAGGTACCTTTTAGCAGACCCTCCCCAGACCCTAAGGGTACTTCGGGGCTTCTCATAGGCAGGCGCCGATCCTGCTGCCATTTCAGGGGCATCCCCACGGGCACTGGCTGGCCCGTGGCCCGCACCCCGTGAAGGGACAAGTGTCCCAGCTGCGTCTGGGACAGAGGCGGCGTCCGCCTGCCCGAGGGTCTCCAGCCTCACTGGGGCTCTGGCCAGAAGACCTGCGTGATGCTCTGCTTCCTGGCAGGGGCGTGGCAGGCCGGGCAAGTCCTAGAGGCCTGCGGAGATAGGGCAGTGCTGCACAGGCGCCGCCCCCCCGCCCCCCCCAGCTCCCGGCCCCCCAGGTGGCGGACGCGCAGCGGGCGGGTCCGCAGGGTCCCGCCGCCAACCTGGAGGAGCCGTCGCCAGCAGGCCCGGCAGCGGTGAAAGTTGCAGGAAGGGCACTGGAAAGGGACCGTGTCCTCCGCCCCGCAGCCGGCGCACGCCGAGCCTGCTCCAAGGGGGCCGCTGTGAGCGCCGCGGCAGCTGCGCCGCGCCCACTGCCCACACTCCCTGCGGCCCCTCCCAGGAGACCTACCGGACTCGGAGGGCGCGTGCCTGCGGGGGGCGCTGGGGGGCTGGCTGGGAGCCCCCGCATCCCCGGCCTGCCTCGGTCTAAGGAAGGCCAAGATCTTGCTCTGGGTCCTCCCGGGTTTGTCCTGTCCTGGGGGGCCTGGAGACACAGGCACGAGTCTGAAAGGGTGGTTCGGGCTGATCTGCGGCCCACCTTGCAGGGCTGCGTGGGGCTCCAGGGGTACCAGGTGGTCTCCCCCCTGCTCCCCCCCGCCGCCGCTACCTGGCCTGGAATCACCGTGGGCGAGGTCGGGAGGCACGGTGGGGGTCCTGTCCTGGGGACCCGGCGGCTCAGGGCCCGCGGTCGGGGCGGCCGGGCCCATCAGGTCGGCGCACACCTGCCGGAAGCGCTGCTGGTGGCGAGGTCTCAGGAACGCGCCAAACCCTGTGGGGAGAGCGGTCAGGCCCCGCCCGCAGCGCCCGGCCCGGCCCGGCGCACCCCCAGCCCCGCCCCCTCCGCGGCCACTTGCTCTCCAGCAGGTGCAAGTCCTCGGGCCTTGAGGTAGTGAGTGCGGCCGCCACGGCCACCACCTTCTCGAAGTCACCGTCCCGTCTGTAGGCGGTGAGCGCTGCGAGGAGCTGGCTGCAGCCTACGGACCCCAGGGCCTTTCGGACATCGGCCAAGTAGGCGCTCCCCACAGGCGGGCCTTGCTTCTCCATCCTGGGGGCTCCAGATCCACCCTCTTTTGGACAGCTGCTGGGGTCTCCTGGTGGGGAGGTGGACAGGATCATGGCGGGGATCTGGGGCCCGAGGGAGCTCCCCTGGCACCCTTCACACCAGCCTGCTCCCTCGCTCTGGGGTTGCAGAGCCAAAACGGCACCCGCGCCCCCCAGGGAGGACGCCAGGGCTCTTGTGCTCTGCTTCAAAGCCTCTCTGGGGACTGGTACCTGCCGGGGCTGGTCCGGAGACCAGGTGAGGCCTGCCTTGATTCAGGTGCTGTCCAGGGTCCAGTTGCCCGGCTGCATCCTGGGACAGGGTCAGCTTTGGGTCACACTCCCTCCTTCCTGAAGAAACGGGTACACACAACGAACCACCCAGCTGGTTCCCAAGGGTCTGGAGTGCTCCCTGGGGAGGAGGCAGGTCTGTCCAAGGGGAGACTGACACCTGCCACCCTCCTCTGCCCACAGCACGACCCAGGCTTGAGCCCCCACCACAACCAACTGCTGCCAGGGGACCAGCAGAGACACCCCAGTGGGCACCAAGCCCAGAAAGGAGAGGGGTGACTCTTTTGCCAGAAAGTCCCCTCCTTGGGGCCAAGGGGTCTTCCTAAGCCAGCTCCCCACCCCCCTCCCTGATACCTATCCTTGGGGAAGTCCCTGATCGGGGGTGAACTGTTTGCAACCGGGGACACAGGCTCCCAGGCTCTGAGGTGCAGGGCCCACTCCTGGCAGACACAGGTGGGGACAGGGTCCCAGCCTGGGCCATGCATGCTCTGGGGGACACACACCTCACCCTCAGCGGGCTTTCATGGGTGAACAGTCCCACCCACGAGCAGGGAGGCTGGGCCAAGCTAGCATTGCCCACCACCCCGCCCCCCGGACCCGGGGTGCCGCCCGCTCACCCCTGGGGGCCTGGGCTGACGGAGCGCCCCGCCTCTGAGGAAGGCTGTGCTCAGGCCGGTAGCCGCAGCCATGGCCTGTCCACTGCAGGCAGACCTCCTCAAACTGCTGCTTGTGGTGTGGCCGCACGAACTGGTAGAAGCCTGTTGGAACGGTTCCACCATGCGGCCCCCGCGTGCTGAGCTGGGTGGAGGGCTCTGGGGTCAGGGGCTGTGCACCAGAACCTTTTCTAGGGAGCAGGGACAACCACGGACCCTGGTGCCCGCCCACAAGCCCCCCTCCCCGCCACGGCTGCCGCACTGCCCCCGGGTCGGGGGACCACCGCGGGCCAGGGCACCTTGGAGCAGGCCGTGCTTCTTGGGATCCTCAGCAAAGAGTGGGCCGAGGCAGGCCACCAGAGCCTCAAAGTCGTCAGAGCCCTTGTAGTCCTGCAGAGCCCTGGTGAACGTGTCGAAGCTGGCCTGGCTCAGCGCCTGCTTCACGGCCACCATGAACAGCTTGGCCCTGCCCGCCTGTGTACTGGCCGCCGGCCCCTCCTGCTGGACACAGGGCCAGGGGCCCCATCAGTCAGGACCCACCCTCCCCTGTCCCAGGGACACTGGGCTGCTGCTGTGGAGCACAGGCACTGGGAGGGACACCCCGGCTCCAGGGCACGGCTGGCCTGGCCCCAGGAGGGAATCCACAAAGACAGCCATGCCCCTTGGAGAGCAGCAGAGGCCAAGTGTAGTTTTGCTTCCCCTGGGTCGGGAGCTCCTACTCCTCAGCCAAGTTCCCTGCGCCCACGCAGCAGCGGACAGCCCCAGCCCGAAGGATGGTCAGCCCACAGCAGAGGGAACTTCTGACCAGATGGGGGACCTAAGACATCACTGTGCCTCACTCGTGCTGCACAGCTCAGGCCCGGATGCTGCCGGGGCTCTCAGCAAGAGAACACGGAAACCAGACAGGAGGGGTCCAGGCTCCCCAGTCTCCGCCCACTCCACCCACTTCCTGACAGCAGCAGTTCCCAGACGCCCAGGGAGATGGACAAAGGCAAGTGGTGCATGGGGCTTTCCAGAGCTTTCCTGGTTCAGAGGGACTCAACTGCCCTTAAATCCTTCATCTGAGGCTGGGAAGGCAGACCCTCCCCACACTCGGGCACGTCAGCACCCACACTTGAGCCAAGGGCTCAGCTCGGGGGGAGCTGACCTGGCTGCCAGCCCCACACCAAACCCGCCCAAAGGGCGAGGACCCGACGTCTGTCCAGCTGGACCTGTCATACCACCCACAAAGTGGTCTCCAGGAAAGACAAAAGGAAACGAAAGGCCCAAAGCTGACCACAAGTTTGCAGGACTCCAAAGTGTGGAGGAGCCACCCCCGGTGGGAGGGACCCCGTGGGCCCTGGGCAGGGCCGCACTGGCAGGGCCGCAGGACCCCATGCCGTTGCTGGGAGCTCTGCGGGGTCTGAAAGGTTGTCAGGGTGAGAAGTTAAAATGCAAAAGAGACCTGGAGCTCATGCAGGCCAGGCCCTGCAAAGATGCTGGGAGGCAGGAGGGAGGCAGGAGGGGGCCCAAGCCCAAGAGGAGGGCGGGAGGAGGCCCTCGGAGCTGTTAGAATAGGCTCACCTACCAAGAGATGAGGCTTAAAAGACCCTCCTTTAAACATTGCAGCTGAACAAAAGTTGGGGCAGGGGGCAGGCCTTGGAGAGCCAAGGGCATGGGGCCAGGCTGCACCCCTGGGAAGGCAGCAGGGAGGCCAGGCCCAGCCACACCTCACACTCCCTGGTCGGCACCGTGTGGCCTGGGGCTCCCACCAGACCCCGTACGTGGGACGCTTCACGTACCCGGCTGCCCACCAGCCTGATCTTCCTTCTGCCTCCTTTCTGCTGCTGTGCAGGCCTCTTCTCACGTGGGAGGGACAGGGTGGAGACATGCGCTGCCTGGGGGGGACACGCTGTGGTCCTGGCCACGCCCTCAGAGCCCCCAGGCCCCTTGTGACACTGCAAGGGCCCACAGTGGGAGAGAAGAGCCCTCTCCTGGGTCCGCCCCGCCAGCCTCCCCCGTGGCCCAGATGGGAAGGGTACGGAAGGGATGGGGGGAGGGGCCGCCTGCTGTCGCAGCCGGGCTCACCCCAGGCCCCAGGGAGCAGGACTGGGAGGGGAAGGGACTCTGCGGCAAGCAGGGCACGGGGGCTCCAGGTCCGGCCAGAGCTAAGGGCTCCAGCGCAAAGGCTCCAGGTGAGGAGCTGTGTCCCTCCTGCCCATCCCCAGCCCCAGCTCAGGCTCCCAGAAAGGGCTGACCTCTGGGGCAGCAGGAGCTGGACTCTGACTGCTCGTGCCAACCCCCAGAGAACCAGCAGGGGCGTGTAGGGCAGCACCAGCTGAGGACCGGGGGCAGGGGCGTGGGGGCGTGCCAGGGGTGTGCCGAAACTCAACCACCCGCCTGACCAGGGGGTTTATAGGAGGGACAGTAGATGTGCCCCAGGCTTGGGAGTGGGGGGGGGGGGCACGGGTCTGTCTCTGGGGCCTCCCGCACCTTCTCCTCCCCAGGGGAGGCCTTGTCCCCAGGCCCCCCAGCCAGATGCTCGCTGTGTTCCAGGGCTGCCAGCAGCCCCACAGGCCTCTGCTGAGCGAGGGCCAGCTCCCGCCCGTACTCCACACACAGGCTGCTCTCGGCGTCCCTGGTCGGCGACCCTGCGGGAGCAGATATCAGCAGCAAAGCCCGTGGGAGGAAGGGGGTGACGGGGGGGTGGGGGGACAAGTCAGGTCTGTCCCAGCAACACTCAGGCTCAGCCAGGCACTCTGGTCACTGGACTGAGTGCACCGGTAGCCAGCGGGAAGCACCCCAGGCCCCCAGCCCAAAGGGCCCCTGCCCAGCCGTGTCCCTCAGGCAAACGCACCCGCGGGTCTCCGCCTCAGGCTGGGGACGTGCACATCCAGACTCTTGGCTTTCCTGGTGGAGAGGGGGCCAGGCGACACGGCCACCATGACAGCACCTTCTCCCTCACCCAGACTTGGGGCAGCGAGTAGGGGGCCCGGCACCGGCATCTGGACAGTCACAGAGAGGTTGGGGTCGTGCACAGACCCATCCCCTGGGTAGGGCGTGAGGACGCAGCCAGCTGGGCATTAGGAACTCACATTTTTCTGGGCGACACGGAAGAACTGGGCCACGTCCCGGATGACGTGGCCGAAGCTGTCATACACCTTGACGTGGGGGCGCACCCAGGAGGGCAGCTGGGCTCTGGCGTCCGCGTGAGTGAACCTGGCAGGGTGTCGGCTGTCAGACGGGGAGCCCCGCCCACCCCATGGCCCACGGCCCACAGCCCAGGCTCACGCTCGCTGAGGGAAGGACCAGAGCCTAGCTGGCCACCCTCGAGGCTGCGTGGAGAAGAGCCGCACCTGTGGTCACAGAGGAAGATGGCCCCGTAGTCGTGGCGATGCCGGATCACCCGCCCGATGGCCTGGTTCACAGCCCTGGACGCCTGCTGCCGGTACCACTCGTGCCCGGAGAGGAGCTGTTGGGGGGGGCTCAGTCATTGGGGCTCTAGACCCTCCTCCCCACTCCCACCCAGGCCTGTGGCCTCTCACCTGACCTCCAGGCCCGCTGCGGCCCTTCAACTCGTCCAGGAACTGCATCTTGAGGACCACCCGGGGGTCCATGCGTGGGGGGTACGGCAGGCCCGTGACGATCACACCGCGGCCGTTCGTGTCCGCAAAGTCTAGCCCCTCGCTGGCCTGGGGGCGTGAGTACTCTTTTCCCCGGTCTGCCTTCCCCAAGGGTCTGCCCGCGCCCAGGTCCTCACAGCCACGCACCTACGGGTGGGGAGAAGCCTCCCACCCTGAGCCAGGCCCTACCTGGGGTTCACGGCTCCCGGGGTCTCACACTCCCAGAAGCTCCTCCACCCTCCCCACCCGCAGCCGGTGAGGGGCGCTCACTCTCAGTGCCTAGACCCGATGCCCGCCGAAGGGCTGTCCAGCCTGGGATGCCAGGGCTGCACCCTCCTCACTCCTGCTTGCTGGACACGGGGCACGAGGGAGGCGGTCGGACCGGCCCATCCCACCGTGTCACAGCCCCCAGGTCATGAACCATGAGCTGCCTCCGACACAAGCACCAGCCGGGGGAAGACAGGCCGGCGGGTGTGGGGCACAGACCCTCAGCAGCCTCACCTTCCCCCGGCACACGGCCAGGAAAGTAGCCCCGCTGGACCCGGGGGAGGCGACTCGAGTGTAATAAGCATCCACCACCTGGGAGGAGACACCGGTCAGCTCCTTCCATCCACGGAAGCGAGACCCCAGGTCTCATCCTCTGAGATGAAGGGCTGTCCCAGCTGGGAGGTGGGTGAGCAGAGTTCTAGAAGCTTCCTCATGGCACAGGTTCCCAGGCTGACCCAGAACCTGTTCAATGTTTCCCAGAAAGCATGGGGACCCCAGGGCTGGGGGTAAGGGGGCAGGGGAGGCTTGCTTCGATGACGGCCCCTCAGACTCGAGGGTCTGGGGCCATCATCCCCATGCCCAAACTTCCTAAGAGGTGACCCGTCAGGGCCAGTGGCCAGCCTGGGGCAGCCATGATGGGCAGTGGAGCCCGAGAGCTCAGACCTCTGAGAAGCCACCTTTGCTCCTCGGCTCCACAAATAGAGGCTTCAGGGACTCCAGCTTCCTGGCAAAGTCACGGGCCTGTGAGGAGAGACAGGGAAGGGGGTGCCCATCACACCCGTCACATCTGGCAGGCGGAGGGCCACATTACAGTCACCTCTGCCTTCTCACACAAATGTTCGTGCTCCGGCCCTGCCAGAGCCTTGGCTGTCTGGGGCTCCCCTCCCACCCCCAGGACACACAGAGGAGGGACGTACCCGCCAGAACTCCAGGCTTTTCTCCATGACGGGGTAGGAAGGGAAAAAGACCAGGAGCCCGTGCGGGACCACGCGGGCGATGTTGCCTACAAGTGCCACCGTGGCTATGTCAGCGGGAGTAGGTGCTCAGAGAGGCTGCCAATGATACCCCCTGGGGACAGCAGGCAGGGCAGGGACCCCAGACACTAGGGAGTGGGGTGGGACCTCAGGATGGAGGCCAAAGCTTCCCATGGGCACTCACCTAGCGCCTTGCCGAGGGAGGACAGGCATGCATCAGAAAACCTGCACAAAGCCAAAGGCCCACCATCGCGAGGGTTCCAGCAGGTGGCACACTGCCCGCCCACCTCCTTATCCACCAGGCCCCCTACCGTTTGTCAAAGGCAGAGCTCAGCTGGGCTCCATCGGGGCCTTTGGGGACGATCCCCACCCAGATCTGGTGCTTGTCGATGACGTGTGGGTTCTCCAGGCAGACTGGGAAAGGGCTGGGGCAGCAGGGTGGCCCCCGTGAGCTCCTGAACCCCAGCACCTGGCGGCCCGCGGCTGGCCCTGGGACCCCCGCCCCCACAGGGCACAGGGCAGCCTTACATCTGCAGCTCCAGGGCGAAGGAGGACACGGGGGCCAGTGTGCCGCTGGTGAGGATGAGGGTGCGGACGCCCTGGCGGACCAGCTCGCGCATGCTGTGGCCGGGGCTGAAGCACCAGTAGCTCAGCACCTTCCCTGCGAGGGGGAGTGTGAGGCTGGGTGGGACACAGGAGGCCTGCCACAGGCGGCCGCTGGGCCCCGCAGCCCACACGTACATGTCTGAACACGCGGACCTGCCTGAGCCCTGAGCTGAGGGTCTGGGCCAGGGCCCCTCTTTCTTCCTTCAGGCGTCCTGGGAGCATGGGCGGACCCAGAGCAGACCCGCAAGGGGAACATACTGGGGGTCACCTCCAGAAAGGCCAGCCAACCCAACCTAGACTTGCAGACACGGACGTGTGGCTCAGGGCACCGAGAGCAGGCAGGCAGGCTGCCATCACGTGCCCCTGGCTGAAGGGCACACCTGGAAAAGGAAGCAGAACCCAAGCTCTGCTCGAGGAGGAGGAGGGAGGGGCCGTGCTTCCCGGAGGCGGGGTCAGTGCTTCCCTGGAGGGGCGGGGTCGGCGCGTCCCTGGAGGGCGGGGCCAGCGCTTTCCCGGAGGGGACCGTCGTTCCCCCCCCCCCCGCAGGCAGCGCCAGCGCTGAAGTCACCGGCAACAAGACAGTGGTGTCCGGAAGCGGCCGTTCCTAAAAGTGCCTGCCTCCTACTGGCCCCCAGCTGGGTCCGGAAGCTTAGGAAATTAAACCAGCACAAGCAGAATGACTTTAAATAGCACTCCAAAGTCCACACTAGGTCATGGGTCAGCAGGGCTGTTTCCAGAAAAGAACCAGTCCCCTCCTGGGGCCAGAGAAGGTTTTTCCACCTTCAGGTGGGAATCTGGCCCGAGATGGGGGGGGAGAGTGGGGGCTGGGTGCTCTGGCCTCTCCCAGCAGGGCCGGCCCTCCCCTTGCTCACGCACATCCTAGCTTCTCGGGAAGGTCAGCAATGAACCAGTTTCCCACAAACGCCCAACTCGGGGCGGCTATTTCTGAGAATTCACATGAGCTCTGAAGTACACAGGACACAGGGGACGCCCCGCCCCGCTGGCCATGGATACCTGCATACCCTGCCCGCGTGTGAGTGCTCCCCCAGGGCGGGGAGGGGGGGCAGGCCCCAGTGCTGGCGCAAACTGCTTCCTGTGACCTCACAACACGCGAGGGTTGCGCTGGTCTCCCTGCCTTTCATGGAAGCTACTTCCTGCTCTGAGAGGCCAGGTGACCCGCCGAGGGCACCCTGTAACCCTCCTGCTTGGCGCCAGCCTTGCCCATGGGCCCAGCCCAGCTCTTCCTGCTCGGCTCCGTGGGATGGCTGACAGCGGCATGGAAGGGGGTGTGCCGGCAGGGCTGGGGGCTGGGCCCGGAACACAGACCACCGGCCATGCTGAGGGGTGACCGGGACAGGACCGTGACCTGACCTTGGGACCCACTGCCCCAGACGTGTCTGGCAAAGCCCACTCCAAAGGCCAGGCTGCACGGGGTGCTGAACTCTGCCTGGGATTGCCGGGACACTGGCCACCACCAGTGTGGACCACACCACACCACAGGGAAACACACCTTGGCCAGGACAGGCCAGCCTAGCCTCACACCAAGAGCCACGGGATGCCTGACACAGACCCCATCCTCAAGAGTCACAAGTGGCCCCGTCTCCAGGACACGTGGAAGCAGGTAAGACCAGTAACAAACCTGGAGAGTGGGACGTGGGGTCAGGGTAACAGAGGCAGCACCAGAGGGACCGGAGTGGCCATCACACACGACCCTGGGGTCTGGAGAGTGGCCTCGGCCTGAGCTGGCCCCGCACGTGTCTGCTCGGTGGGACGGCATTAAAGCAGCACACCTGTGCCGACGTGAACGTGCCCAGGTCTCCCCTCCCCGTGGGGTGGGGGACCTGGCTGTGCCCTCGCTCCACGGAAGCCCTTCAGGTGACTCTGGGTAGGCCCTGTGCTGTCGGCCAGCTCTGAGGCCCTTCTGTCTCCGCCAGCTCTGTCTGGTTGAGCTGTGGGGTCACGCGGGGCAGGCTGCGCCCGGGGCGGGGGGGCCGGGGGCGCTGTGCGGAGCTGGAACAGGGGAGCGCGGCCCCGCCCCCCAGGCACCATACCTTGCTTTCTGGACGCCGTGGCGTTCCAGGCATCTGATCGCCGAGCTGTCCTCTGGTGACCGGCATCAGGGTGGATGTGCACCTGGAGGGACAGAGGGGACAGCATCCCGAGACCCAGCCCCAGGGTCCCCCCGTCCCCGAGGCAGCCCCTACCTTGTAGGATTGAGAGACCCCAGGCCCCATCACGGAACTAGAAACGCCCTCCGCAGGGTCTGCACTGAACACAATCTGAAAAGCAGACGTGGGGGACAAACTCAGCAGAGACACGCTGGTCACACAGCGTACAGCAGGGGCCACCACTCCTGAGTCGCCCCCACACATGGGATGGATGCTCAGGGCACTGTCATCCCCTACCCTGCCTTTGAGCTCATGGCATCCCTGCTGTGGGACTCCAGGCCGAGGGGCAGGAGTCGCACTTGCCTGTCCCCTCTCCTAAAGGACCCCACGGCACCGGAGACACAGCCATCCCGCAGGGCCCCCTCTGTGGTAGCTAATCCGTGTGCTCTCACAGGGAGCAGGCCTGGGGTGGTCAGGGAGCCAGAGGAAAGGACTCAGTTCACCCCCAGAAGTAAGAAGACAAAAGCGACCCCTAACTAAAATAAAGAGAACCATACTCTTGGCCAAGGCAACAAATGGAGAAAAAGAGTCGAGAGATAACTTTAGGGAAGAAGGCGCACGACGCTGGAAGTTAACAAACCACGTGGCGGGACTGCTCAGAAAACCAAACGACTTTTACAATTAGAAGGAAAACTTAGTAAGACAGTACCAGGAAGCCAACAGAAACACCAAGAGTGCCCCAGGATGCCCTGGGGCCCAGCGGCTTCCTGTCCACGGCTTTGCAGGTGAGCAGGTCTCACGCCGCCCCAGGGCAGGCTGCACCTGCCCCATCCCTCCTGAGGCTGCCTCTGTCTGTGTGGGCTGCAGACCCCCTTTCTCACCCTACCTTGAGGGGATCTGAGTTTCGGGAGGTACGAGGCTCTACAGCCCGCCTGGGGGTGCTCTCAGTGCGGCCTGTGACATGGGCTACCTGTCTGGCCAGCCTACTGACCCCCTGCAGCCCTGGGGCCAGCCCAGCACACCCCCTTCCCACAGGAGTCAGGTCTGGGAGGACCAAGAGCCCGGTCACGCTTCCTCCAGCTGGAAGGGACACACCAGAGAGAGAAGCTGGCCTACAGGCAGCACCGGGCGGGCAGCGACACGGAGCCATCTGCCAGGCCCACTGAGAGCGGCTGCCAAAAGAAATTCCAAACCAATGGGGTAGGGGTGCTTGGGTTCCAGTGAGTCTGCGGGGGAGAATCTGGGGAGCAGAGGGGGCTGCGTGGGACCGGGTTTGAGCTCAGGGCACCTGTGGAGGGGACAGCAGCCCTAGCCCAGCGCCCGCTCATCTGCAGGGACCCTGAGATCAGTGGGGAGTACACGCAGGGAGCAGCTCAGAGGAGAGGGCCCGCCTGGCAGGAGTCTCAGACAGGGGCCAGGGTACCCAGAGACCCGACAGTCACAAGGGGCCATGGCCCCAGGCAGCAGTGGTCTGGAGCGCCTCAGAGAAGTGCTGGGAGGACAGCAAGGCAGGGCCTGGCACCCCAGGACAACACCTACCCACACTTCACACTCAAGGAGACGGAGCTCCAGGTACCAGATCACAGTGGCTCTGGGGGACGTATACCTGCCTTTCCCTGGGCTGCAGGATCACCCACTCCTAGCTCCTCCTTCCTCCCCCC